TTTAAAACATTCAGATTTGATGTGTTTAAGAATCAGTTTAAAACATTCAGATTTGATGTGTTTAAGAATCAGTTTAAAACATTCAGATTTGATGTGTTTAAGAATCAGTTTAAAACATTTGGGTTTAGTGTGTTTAAGAAGTAGTTTAAAACATTCAGATTTGATGTGTTTAAGAATCAGTTTAAAACATTTGGGTTTAGTGTGTTTAAAAGATAGTTTAAAACATTTGGGTTTAGTGTGTTTAAGAAGTAGTTTAAAACATTCGTGTTTGGTGTGTTTAAGAAGTAGTTTAAAACATTCGGGTTTAGTGTATTTAAGAAGTAGTTTAAAACATTCAGATTTGATGTGTTTAAGAAGTAGTTTAAAACATTCGGGTTTGATGTGTTTCAGCATCTTCTAGTTTGTAGTGTTGATTCTTCTCTGATAATTTAATAGAAGAAAGGTCCAGAGTAAAAATATGTTTAGAAACAAAAACATTTAAGAAAAGAAATATCACACTTAAAAAATATATATATACATAAATATGCATCTACTATAAATTAGCTATAGCGTCTACACATGTAGCTGTAATATTACATAAATATGCATCTACTATAAATTAGCTATAGCGTCTACAAATGTAGCTGTAATATTACATAAATATGCATCTACTATAAATTAGCTATAGCGTCTACAAATGTAGCTGTAATATTTCATTGTTGATTTATTTCTATATCAAATAATTATACGAATTATCAAGTGTGTTAAATGATTAAAGAGAAGAAAAGATAACCCTAAAGATATAAATAAACGTATCCTAATAGGAGAGAGAGCTGAAGGAAAAGAACCTTTACAGCAGTAGGGATACACTGTATATAACACTTAACACTTATTGTCAAGATTCACGTGCTACATTAAATTCTAATTTTAAAACAAGGGGGGAGCTATGAAGTTCATCTTCATTTCAAAACTACCATTCACCTTCTGCAACCACCACTTGGAGAGAAACAGCGAAAACTATGTTACTGAACCCTAGTTTTGGATATGAGACTCCATAGACTTCTCTGTGTGTGTGTGTGTGTGTGTATGTGCTGGTAGTTTTCAAATGAAAATTCTAGTTTCATTTCACGCGTAAAATAAAATCTGATAAACAATCCATCCCCATAGGTGAATTTGTGCGATATTTTACTGGAATACGTTACGTTCCCCCATTCTGTAGTTTGTAGCCTGGTTTTTATTTGTGACTTACGTATCTTGAGGAATAAACGTTGGAGGAAAAAAACAAAATATGTAGATACGTTTTGTCCAATCACCATGTAGCATGAAAACGTGGCTTAATTTTTGTATTCTCGAATTAAAGAAACAAATCATGATTTAAATATTGTAAACATCGGCTACGATTTATTAAATTTGTCCAACCATCTGAATATTTAAAAAAAAACTTAACAAAGGTAATAAAGATTGAACTAAAAATTTGGCATTTGGAGACGCACGAGAAAAGAAACACTTTATAAACTTCATCAGAATGACTAGAAATTAATTAATTCGCCTGAAGTAGCTTTAAAACCATATGTTGATATTAGTTGAAAAAACCAAAACATCCTTTGACCTACCTTGATAAGCAGTATTCTAGACTTTCAAGAAGCTCCACCTGTCAGCAAAGAATGGTACTCTGTTGGAAAGATCTCTCTATTTATTTGGAATCTTCGGGTAGCTCCGCCTTCTCACTTTCTCGTGCGGCAAGCTCTCCTAGGATCCACTAAATCTGCTTTGTGTTCCCTTGTTCGGAAAATTTCTCCTGAGAGGTGGTCATCTTCTACAGTTAAGTTCATCTGAAACAGATTCTACTGGACCGTGTAACTAACCGTTTCGCGAGGTGTAACTTGTTTATCTGTTATGGTATATATATAATACAACGTATTCGCTACTATTATTTATTGGTATAGATACCAGGGGGGTAAAAAAACTTCATAATTATATTTCGGGTAAGCTCAATATTCACGAACCAGACTATACGTATAATGTATCTTGTTTGTTTCGCTGGGGACGAGGGTCAACGAAATGAACTGAGGAGCCCCCAGCCGACAGGTAATGACAGTTCAGGTGAACGTACCGACGGTCCACTGAAGAACGGATTTTCGGCGCCAGACAAAAATGTTAATTGGATTCCAAATATCCACTTCCTTACATGGTATTCTTACTTTCTTATTCACTCGACGCGCTGACAATTTATAGTTAATATGTGTTCGAAACATGGTTTCTTAAACAGAAAACAAGGAACCGTGATGAATACATCAATGGCACACTCCAAAAATGCAAATACAATGCTAATTAAACGGTTGCCTGTTTTACATATTAAAGAGGCCTCAGTAGCTTTCACATAAACAAAAATATGTAAAGTTTAAAGCTATCCCGCTGTGGGGTAGCAGTAAGTTTATGGACACAGCAGACAGCTTAACGTGGCTTTGTTCTAAAACAAACAAAAATACATGTATTAAAGTTATAAGTACTAAATTTTAAATGTACAGTTACTCTAGGGGACGTTATTATTAACAGTAATGTTCATTAATAAAAAAATAAAAAACAGGATTACTGTCATACCGGCGTTATCACCCGCTGGGTCAACGCTAAGTCTATAGCTAAAATCCGGGGTTCGGTTCCCCGCAGTGGACAGATTGTAAATAGCCCATTGTGTATCTTTGCGCATACAATATCATACCTGTAAGTTTTAATGAAAGCACCTGTAAACATTGAGTAGGTAGATATACATTAAATACTAATGATTTGAACTATTTTGCTAGATATATATATATATTAGGCCCGGCATGGCCA